TTATAAAATGGTCCCAGGTGATGCTCAAATATAGATAGATAGATAGATAGATCCCATCCAGCCATTCATCTGAACACCCAGTGAAAACAACAATAAAAACATAAGAACTTTGATCAGTGAAGTAACTAATCTTTCCAGAGGACCAACAGTGCAAAATACCTCCATTCTCTTGGCAGAGAGGTGACAAATGATAGGTAAAGAACGAAACATACTTTTTTTAGACATTACCAGTGTGATAGTTTGATTTACTTAATTATATTTCTTTGTTACAAAGGAAACTTCTTTGGGGAGAGAGGCAATTTTTGGAAAGTGACAACATTGTAAATTAAAGAATTAATAAAATATGCAATAATCTTGGTCTCCTTGTTCCTCCTCACATAAGTCTTTCTAGTTTCCTGCCTCCAGGCATTTTAAGTGGCTGCCACCTTGTCTAAAACTCTCTTCCTTGCCTAAAACTTCATCTCTCCCTCCATTCTTCCCTGATTTCCTTCAAGCCTCACCAAAATTCCCATCTTCCCAGAAAGAAGCCTTTCTCAGTCCTCCTTAATGTTAGCACCTTCCTTGTGAGATTATCCCCAATTTATCCTTTATATAGGTAGTTATTTATAGCTGTTTGCATATTGTCTCCCCAGTTAGATTGTGAGAACATTGAAAACATTTTTTTTCTTTCTCACCTTTCTAGCACTTAATACAGTGCCTGGTACAGAGTAGGCACTTAGTAAAAGCTTATTTCTTTAACTTGACTTTATCCTATAAAATAAAATTAAAAAGAAAAATAAGAAGAATCAAATAGAAACCTAGTATTTTCCAATAATGTCCTTCTTAGAATTTAATACCATTTGTTCTGGGCCTTTTGACCAAGACTCTCATTTATTTATCATATAGTACTTTGTAGTATGGTCTAGTGGGAAGAACATTGGATTTAGCATCAAATGGCCTGGGTTCGAGTCCTTTCTCTATCTTTTTTTTGTGCAACAATGAAGAAATCACTTCATCTCTGTTTGCTTCCTCATTTCCTCTTCCATAATATGAAGATAATAAAATCAAAAGCCAGAACTAAGGTTGCTGGGAGAAATATCAACAATATCAGATATGCTGGGAATACTATCCTGATGGCAGAAAGTAGAGAAGAATTAAGAAACCTCTCGATAAGGATAAAAGAGGAGAGTGTGAAAGCTAGCTTAAAGCTTACCAAAAAACCCCCTAAGATTATGGCAAATAGTCCCATCACTTTCTGGCAAATGGGGAAGAAATGGAAGCAGCATCAAATTTTATATTCTTGGGTTCAGATGGTGACTGCAACCATGAAATTAAAAGATGCTTGCTTCTTGGAAGGAAACCTATGGCCAATCTGGACAGCATTCTAGAAAGTAGAGATATCACTCACCAACAAAAATCCTTACTGTCAAAGCTATGGTTTTTCCTGTAGCAATGTACGCCTCTGAGCATTAGGCTGTATAGAAAGCCGAGCATCATGGAATCAATGCTTTCAAACTGTGTTGTGAGAGAAGACTCTTGAGAGTCCCTTGGACAGCAAAGAGATCCAATCAGCCAATATTTAAAGAAATTAATGCAGACTATTCATTGAAGGTGAAATAGTGAAGGTGAAGCTTAAATACTTTGGCCACATAATGAGAATAATGAGAAGATAGGATTCACTGGAAAAGATCTTGATGTTGGGAAAGATTGAAGGCAAAAGGAGAAGGGGATGGCAGAGGATGAGAAAGACAAATAGTGTCATGGAAACAATGAACATGAGCTTTGGCAGACTTTGGGAGATAGTAGAGGACAAAAGGGACTGGTGTGCTATGATCCATGGAGTCATGAAGAGTTGAACACAACTGGACAACTGCACAACAACTACTACTACTAGCTGTCAGGAAAACACTTTGTAAAACTTCGCATGTTGTGTGCAAATGTATTGTTATGTTATGTTTATGTAAATCTCATTTTCCCTCTAGTTTATAACATTCTTGAGGGCAGCAACCAGGTCTTATTCGTCTCTTCATCTTCCTTAGCACTTAGCACAGTGTCTTATACATAGGAGGTGTTTAAGAGATGTTGAATAAATGAGTCTAAGAAGTAAGCCATTTATGACAATGACTCCTGTGTTTGAATTTGTATACACAAGATGTGTGGAGGGGCAGGTGTGAGAGAAATGAAGACCTGCTCCCTGCTGGATGTGTGATAACCCATATTGTAATATAATATAAGTGCAATTCCTTATCTAATGGATATTCTAGAGATTTCTTCAGTCACCTAGATCTGTAAAGCTAGATGCAGATTTCCAATTTTTCCCCAGGCCTACTTACTCTAAACTAACATTCTTTCATTCATTCAACAAACATTTGAAGCCCTCATATGTGCATGTTCAGACCATCTGTCTAAAGTCTGATAAGTTAAAAAAAAAGCAGAAATGAGGATTGAAGAACAATTTAGTGGTAGTTCTAGGGTAAAAGATAGTGTTGGAGGTGGTGGATTAAGGAACGAAGATGAACATATTTGAACTTTTTTGTATGATTTAGATCTGGGAAAAGCCTTTGAGATCATGTTTACAAATGAGGAAAATGAGGCCGAGGGAGGTTGTTGGTTCACAGATTTAGAGCTAGAAGGGACTTCAGAGTAGCTGGACCTCTGTCATTTTGCAGATGATGAAACAAAGGTCAAGAAAAGCAAAGGAACTTGGCCAAGGTCACGCAGGTGATAAATGATGGAGACAAACCCTGTCTCTATGACTTCAAGTCGAGTGTTGATTCCACTATATTCAAACATCAACACTAGCTCAGTAGAATATCACACTATGAGGGCCAGAAGAAACTTGTCCCCAGCATCAGGGCGTGGTTTTATTTGGTTTGCTGCCCTCTCTCCATATTAACTCAGGACCTGGGCCACAGACTGGGGAGACCACATGATGTAAAATAAAGCGATATTAATATTAGTGATATTACTGGACATTTCTACGGTATCTTATGGCTAATCATTCACTTTCATGCACATTATTTCATCTCAAACTATGTTTTAGGACACAGTTCAAACAGTAGTATCTTCTTATATAGGAAGAAACAGAAGTTTAGGGAAGGTGAGTGATTTGGTCAGAGTCAGAATTAGTAAGTGGTAGAGCTGAAATGAATGCATCTGCCTTCCTACTCCTGCTCAGGTCTTCTTTCCACTGCTGCTGGCTCATTGCCTCGGTTTTGCTGGAAAGGGCTCCCATACCATGAAAGAAGGAAGCACGCTGTCAAGACATTCTAGGAGCAGGCTAAGAAAGAGCATTTGAGAAAGAGGTGTGATGACAATCCTGACATTCATGTCTTTTGCCGTGCTTGTGTGGGGTACATGACACTCTCATTTTTATCTGATGCTAATTGCCCCAGGGGAAGCATTTCTATCACAGAAGAACATATTGGAAAAGAAGGAAGATAAGGTCACATTAGGCAGGAAGCAACCAAGTGCCACTGTAAAGGAGTGGAGTATCAAAATACCTTCTTCCTGAGGCTCCTTGTCACCTTAAGATGTCATGCCTACCTGCTGCCTCTGGAGAAACTTCCCAGTCTTGAAAGGGCTTTGGCCCTACTTTTTTCCACCGGGGTTGAGCACACAGGCTCCCCCTGCTGGTGCTTTTGTCTGACAAATTATACAGGATTTTGGAGCTAGAAGAAGCCTTAGGAATCAATTCGTCCAAACCTTTATATCCAGGCTATGTGACTTTTCAACAGCTACACTCTCTCTTCCACCCCACATGACTAGAATGCTCACTTTTTTCCACTCCACTCTCTTTAAAATTAGACACATTCACCCTGAGATGTTCTTTCATCTAAGATTAGAAAGAACAAACAGAAAAAGGAGGCAGCCCAAACCCAGGATCAGACTTGCCTAGGCAGGACGAGGGCATTAAGTACTATATGTTTATGGCTGTATGGAGGCTGGGGCGTGGGGAAGGTGCCAGCCACTCATCCCCCCCCCCAGCTCTAGGGGTGCAACTTGAAACAGTCTTGCATAACGCACAGCCAGAGAAGAGTGCAGTTGAAGGGGCAGGCTCCTCTCTTTTGTACAACCACTGAAAGAGCAGCTCCTCCAGCTCTGCATTTCAGTATGACCTCTTCACCATCTTACATGGCCAGAAAAAGGCCCTGAAGCTCTCATGTGGTCAGTTAGAACCAGGAAAGATCAAGAAGTACTTAATAAGGAGTGATAAAAATATATTTGTACTTTGTCTTATGAATCTAAAAAAGATGGCTATAAGCTGAAAACAAAAATGAAAGGAGAAAATCACCTCCATATATCCACCAAACTAGGCATCATAGACCATAGGATCATAAATTTGGAGCTAGAAGGGACTTCAGAAACCACTTAGTAAAACTTGTTCGTTTTATCGATGAGGAAACAGATTTCCAAAGCTGCTATGACTTGTTCAAAGTCACACATGTAGTAAGTAATAGGGGTAGAATTGGAATCTAGGTCTTCTGACTCCAAATTATAATGCAGTTGCAATGTAGGAAGGAGCATAGCAGTAAACATTCCCAGCAATCCATGATAGTTACAATCCAAGAAAAGAGAGGCCAATGAAACTCATGGCCTCAGATGCCTCCACCCAAATGTGCAAAGTATGGAAAATAAGCAGAAATAGAGATTCTAGTGAAAAAAGGCTAATGTGTCTCTATAGTGTCATTGAGACTTGCTGATATAAGCCTAGACTTTGGCTCTAAAAGGGCCTCATTCAGAAGGATAAGGAAAATAAATTTTACATCAAGAAGGTATAATCACATGAAGAAAACCAAGAAATAGAGGATGAAATCATGGTGGAGAGAATTTGAGTGAAGATCAATGGAGACAGAAAACAGAAGCAATATTGTTATTAAAATACTCTACCTAGGACATTTAAAAAGAGAGGGAGGAAATAGGTGGAAAGTTTTGGAATCAGGTCACAAGCTTGGAATAAAAGTATGACATAGAAATAATTGGAGGCTTACCTAGACATTTGGAACTCTCTCTGCCAACAGAGCAACTAATATGCAGTGTCTGGAACAGGACTGAATTCCCATGCATGGGAGACGATGAAAAAGGCTGGAGTCAGGAGATAGAACGTCTTATTTGAGGAGCAGCATGAAAATCAATATCACTGAAAAGGTGAAGTATGAGAAGACCAGAGAGGGTGGGGTGGGTGGACAGGCTTCTCAAGCATGATACCCAGGATGGTAATGGGCCTTGATTTAATGCCATATGAGAACTGGTTGAAGGAAATAGTGATATTTAGCTTGATAAAAGAAGTCTGGGTTGGGGGGTGGCAGGGAGGGGTAAGGGACAAGAACACTGCCTTCCAGTATTTCAAGGACTATCAAACACAGGAAAGATTGAGACTTGTTTCACTTGTCCTCAGATTTGTGATGACAAGGTTGTTAGGATTCTCAGATTCTTTTGTTTATTTTGCTTTTATTTTATTTTAATCCAATAGACACTAATAAACATGAATCTCAGTTTTTCTGGGATTTCAACACAGGTATCTTTTGACTCCAAGCACAGAATTGTTCCTCCTGTGTCATTTTGACTGTCATCATGATTCCTTCCTTATTGGATAGAGGGAAATGGGGAAAAGATAATAGCAATTCAAAAGCCAGCACCAGTAAAAGTGCTTTTCTGAAAACCTAACATGAGGCAACAGTATGGCTTTACCTTTGATGGAGATAGAATTCTGGGTCTTCACATTGTACTTCTGGAGCTTAACATCACTAAAATTCCAAAGGTTATGGGTAGGTCCTACAGGTGAAGACTTAATAAGTGGGCATGTCTTTTGGCACATTGAGAATTTTGCAAAACTAATAAAATGCTTATGCTTTTCATGGAATCAAGGAGGAGGCAAGTGGTGATTATTGTAATCCTTTTTAACTGGCACTTTGGGGAATAATCTATTGATGGCTCCTATTAATAGGCTTATAGTCCAGTCATTCCCTTTAAACTTCTGGAATATAGAATGCCTTAACTAATAAAGAAATTTAGAGTACTCAGTGAATTCTCTGACATTGTGAAGAAGCAAGCACAAAAACCACAAAGAATGATAAAATCCCCCCCCATCAATGACATAACACCCCAAATTCTCATGTAGAGTAAGAAAGGCTTAGATATATATCCCCCCAAATTTGTTGGATAAAAAAATTAATGTATAGGTGGGTCTAAATGGATTTGAGTAGGGATTCTTAATCTTAATTTGGATGGGAAAATTATACTCTTATGTTCATTAAGGTCTAACTGAAATTCAGCATTTCCTTCAAATTAAGAATATAGTGCCAAACATTCTGTGAAAGAATCCATAGGTTTCACCAGGCTACAAAAGGAATTAATAACACAGAAAGTTTAAGAACCCCCATATAAAATACTCAAGATACAATACCAAGATTTCAAAAGATACCACCATCATTAGCACTATCTCTAAGAGATGAAGCAATGTGTTTTAAGTGCCAAAAGTTTTTCATGGAACCTACTATGGGTTATAAAAATTAATTCACTCCATCTTAAACATCTGAAGGCTTTTCTTCCTTAGCACATACTATAGTATGATGAAAAAATCATCATTTGAAGGCTCTCAAAGTCTAGCAAGGTCTATTGTGTCTCTCCCAGAAAAGGCTTGTAGACTTTTGAACTCCTCAGAGTCATTGTCTTTCTGAGATCACTTTTGTTGCTGTATATGGAGGCGATCTTCCCTTTGGTGCAGGAATAAATATTAGCAGAAATACATAACCTCCTAAAAATACTCATACACCAGAAAGCTTATCTTGGCCCCTAAGGTGGTAAGGAATGATAAAGATGAATTACCATACCCTGTTCTAGCATTGTTGGCATAAAGAGAAAGAATAAAAATTTTATTCAGTCAAGAAATAACTTCAGTAGCTAAAACCTCATTTCTTGTAAAGAAACCTCTTTTCTTAAAAATTATAGGTTCTGCCTAAAAAATCCCAAATTTTCTTTACTTTGTCCACACTACGGACTAATAACAAAGATGATAATCTATGCCCGTGAACAGCTTAACTCATTTGCAGCAATATTTTTGTGGTTTTAAAATTGGAAGGCTGTGGAATTTAAAAGCTAGAAGGGAACTTGGCAATCATTTAGTCCAATTTCAATATGTTCAAATATTTGTTGAGTCAAGACTCTTTATTTTACAGATGAGAAAAAATACTAACCAGCATCAGAAACAGAAGAGAAAGGAAGGCAAATAATACATGTGTATGATGTGAAATATAATAACCCAGTACTTGTAGGGACTTTCTATTATAAATAGGCCAGATTTTACAAAATAGTTATGTTCTAGAAAAAATGTTGAATGAGAATTAAATGTTTATATATCAAATCACATATCTGGAAGGTACTACTTAAAATCAGTCCTATAGTAAATCCTCTCTTGGATAATGAATCACTCCCTACTTAACCACTATTAATCCAAATGTTCATATATTGAGTTTGCTTTATGCAATTGGATGACTTTGAAGGACAAACTGTTGGGAAAGAGAAGAGAAGAAAAGAGAAAAGGCAAAGGGAAAGACAGAGAGAGAGAAAGAGAGAGAGAGAGACAGAGACAGAGACAGAGAGAGAAACAGAGAGAGATACAGAGAAAGAGAGAGAAGCTCTTAGGTTTAAGTAACCCCAGGATTTTCTTCAGAACAGAATTTAAGTCACTGTGTTTCCTCTCAAGAAGGGATTTTTTACTTGTTTTGTGATGTTTTTCTAAAATAGCATTTTCTCTCCTTACAGAATGAAAATCCTGTCCAGAAGATAGGAGAACATTTGAAAGACCAGCAAATGGGATGGAGGCAGTTTCAAAGGAAGATCAATCCCTGGCCTCAAAATTATACCAACTAGTCTGCTTATGGAAAAAGCCAGCCCTGAATGAACCTATTTAGAATCCTTTTTTAACTAATAAAAACTAAATTACATTCTCACCGGGGGGGGGGGAACCTTTCTTATAGTTTGCTAAAAACAAAAACAAAAAGACCCCAACTTCTCCCAACTATATCCCTTCTATCTTATTATTCTCCAAGTGGCTGATATGAAGGGAGAGTTGCTTCTTTTCCCCACCTACAGAGGAACTCTGGCCATCTCTAGAATAGTTCTACTCCCTCACTCATCCCTGGGCTGCCACCATCCAGGATCCTAGAGCTATCATGTTCTTCTTCCAATCTGCCTTCCACTAGAGCAGACGTGACCCCTTACTCCTGTCATGGGGATACATGTTACACACCACTAGTGTAGGAAGCAAGGCAGCACATGCTGGCTGTTTTGATATTAAATTCTTTGAAGTCAGGGGCTGTATCTTGTACTGCTGTCTTAGTCACACTAGCACCATGGACAGTGCCATGCACAAGGAAAGTACTGAAAACTATTAATCATAATTGTCAAATGTAATGCTTTCTGTCAAGCAAATAATCAACTCCCTCTCTATCCTCATTGTATCAACAAAGGTGTTCAACTGTACAGGCTGGTTGTGCTGGATGAAATGAATTGAATTTCTAGGCTTCATTAGAGGCATCCCTTTCTGATCAGACTTTCCCCCACAACATGATTCAAAAAGAGAAATAAAAGCTTTACACACACACACACACACACACACACACACACACACACGTGCACAAATGGACAGAATGACAATGTACTCTTTGCTTCCTAGCAAAAAGGTTCTTCTTGGGTGTGTGGATCAAAATGAAACTAATAGGAAGCAAAACGAAAATTTTGTACTGCTAGCTACTCGGTCTCTTAAACTAGCCTCAGAAAATCTCATTTCATTCTTGACTCCATGTGTTTCTGCCTCTCTTTGCATGGTCACAAGTGTGGGGATTTTAATTTGTGAGGGTTTTTTTTCTTTAAAAAAAAAACATATGTCTCATTCCCTATCTTCTTTTCCAACCAGATTTCCTCCAGTACTGAGGAGAAATGCACAAACACTAGGTGAAGTACATTATATGATATGGGGTTAAATATATTTTGAGAAGTGGAGATCAGAATAATCCCTAGGGAGGTCAGACTGCAAACTCCACTCTCATCCCACCCTTCTAAAGTGAAGGACCACAGAATGTAAAAAGAAAGGAAAAACATGAATCTGTTAGGGCTGAGGCTATAGATTCTCTGGAAATATAGCCTTCTAAATTGGGACTTTAGCATGCTCTGTGGTTTTCAGGAATAGGGACAATGATTCAACTCATAAATAATTCCTCCTCAATGATCTTAGGTGATTTTCTACTTATGTGGTCATCTTCAAGCACCATCTCATGAATCTGAGCTGTTCAATCTGTTTAAACGAGGGGTGGGCAATCTGCAGCCTTGAGGCCACAGGTGGCCTTTCAGGTCCTTAGTTATGGCCTTTTGGCTGAATCCAAGTTTAACAGAACAAATAACTTTTTGGTTAAAACCAAAAGGACTGGTAAACGTTTGTGCTCACAGCTTTGATTGGATTGGATTTTTTTAAATCTCAGATGCTAGCTCATGGTGTTCCTGTGAAGAAAAGGTAGGTAACACAAGGTAACTTATTCTCACATTCTTATGCCTCACAATTCCTGGCTAGTACCCAGAAAGATTAGTTCTCCCAAAAAGAACTTTTTAGAATCAACTTATTGTGACTGGTAGTATAAGAATCTAAATTAACTAGAACTCTTAATGAATTCCAACTCTTGTTTACTCCCCTTTTAGGAAAAAGAGGAAAAATATAAGAAAATTAACTGATAAAAGAATTCTCTCCCCACCCCATAACCTAATGATTTTCAGGGAATTCCATGTGATCAGTACATAGACACATGGAAGTTTTTTTATCTTCATGAAGTTTTTTGGTTTTTGTTTTTATTTTAGAGACTAGGTCTCCATATCTCACACAGAATTAAAAGTACAGCTGCCTCTCATAGGCCAACTTCCACCTCTTTTATAAAATGAGGAGACTGAACTAGATGGCTTTGGAGGTTCCTTCCAACTCCAGATGTATGGTCCCACAAATCCCACAACACTCTAGATCTTGATAAATTAACTCTGATCATTCAAAACAGGTCAATCTAGCAGAACCAGATCTCAAACTATATAATAAAATGTTAAGCATCAAAACAATCTGTAACTGGTTAAAAATTAGATTGTTTGATCAATGAAATACATCAAGTACATGATATACAGAAATAAATGGCCACAGTAATCCAATGCTAGATAAACCCAAAGATCAAAGTTATTGGGGCAAGGACTCATTTTCAACAAAAACTGTCAGGAAAATCAGAAAGCAGTCTGACAGAAACTAGGCATAGACCAACATTTCACTTTATATACCAAGATAAGGTTCAAAATAGGTGCCCGATTTACACATAAAGGGTAAGATCAGAAGGAAATTAGGGGAGCATGGAAAAAATTACTTGTCACATCTATGGAAAAGGGAATATTTTATGACCAAACAATAGATGGAAAGGTTCATGGGAGATAAAAAGGATAATTTTGATTACATTAAATTAAAACTTTTTTTGCACAAATAAAACCAATGCACTCAAAATTTGAAGGAAAGTGGGAAACTGAGGAAAAATTCATAGTGAATGTCACTGATTAAGGTCTCATTTCTCAAATATGTAGCAAACTGGGCTAATTTTTCAGAAGTAAGAGCCATTTTCCAATGGATAAGTAGTCAAAGGATATTAACAGACAGTTTTCAGAAGAAGCAAAAGCTATTAATAGTCAGGTAAAATTTTTCTAAATAGCTAGTAATTACAGAAATGCAGATTAAAATGACTGTGAGATATAACCTCATACCCATCAGTTTGGCTAACATGGCACAAAAGGAAAATAACAAATGTGAAGGGGATATGGAAAAATAGGTACATCAGTGTACTGCTGGTGGAGCTGTGAACTGCTCCAACCATTCTGGAGAACAATTTGGAACTATTTCCAAAGAGCTATGAACTGCAGACATTTTGACTCAGCAATACCACTATTAGGTCTCTATCCCAAAGAGATTAAAGAAAAAGAACAAAGAATATATGCACAAAAATATTTATAGAAGCTCTTTCTGTGGTGGCAAAGAATTAGAAATCAGGAGGATGCTAATCAGTTGGGGAACGACTAAAAATGTTGTGGTACATGATTATGATGGAATACTATTGTGCTGTCAGAAATGATGAAAGGGAGAGCAGAGCCAAGATGGCATAGTAAAAGCAGTGATTTGCTTGAGCTCTCCCCCAAACCCCTCCAAATACCTGTAAAAATGGCTCTAAACAAATTCGAGAGCAGCAGAACCCAAAAAAGACAGAGTGAAACAATTTCCCAGCCCAAGACAACCTGGATGGTTGATCGGAAAGATCTATTGCACTGGGCTGGGAGAAGAAGGAAGTTCAGTGTGGGCCAATGACCAGGCCTCAGTGAACCTAGAGGAGCCCTCAGGGGACTGAATCACAGGAAGTTGTGGCAGTTTCCAGACTTCTCAACTTAAAAATGCCAAAGACAACTTAGAAGGTCAGTAGAAAAAGTCTGTGACCACGGTAAGGAGAAGCTCCGTCCCAGGCCCAGTCCTGGTGCATTCCTAGTGCAGTGGCTGCTTCCAGAGCTGTTGGTCCACAGTCTGAGGGGGGAATCAAATGGCTGATCAGAGGTGGATTGCAGGGATCTCTTTTCTGGTGCTAAGGCAGGATTCTTTTGATCCAAGCCTGTGCTTGGATCTGGGTCACAGGTCTAGGTGGCGGTCCTGGGGCAAGGAGGAGTGCTGGCATGGTGGAGCTTGTAGTGGTGATGATGAAGGAATCCTCCTCACAGTTCCAAGGCAGAAAAGAGTGCTTGTTGTCACTCTTAGACCAGAGTACAGGCCAGGAAAGGAATAAACACCTTGCCCTTGGTCATACCAACTAGGAAGAACTGAAAATTTACAGGTCCCTAGAAGTATCTCTGAAAACAGCTTCACAAAATCCCCAAAGCTTGGAACAGTACATTCTCCACACTGGAAGTAGACCAGTACCTTAACAAAGAGTTTAAAACTCAAGTAGTTGGCTGGGATCATGAGCAAACATTGCAAAAAAAGTCAGACCGTGGAATATTTCTTTGGTGACAAAGAAGATCAAAATATGCAACCAGAAGAATACAATAAAGTCAAAGCTCCTACATCTAAACCTCCAAGAAAAATATGAATCTGTCCCAGGCCATGGAAGAGCTCAAAAAGGATTTTGAGAAGCAAGTAAGAGAAGTAGAGGAAAAACTGGGAAGAGAAATGAGAGTGATGCAAGAAAATCATGAAAAACAGGCCAGTAGCTTGCTAAAGGAGACCCAAAAAATACTGAAGAAAATAACACCTTAAAAAATAGCCTAACTAAAATGGCAAAAGAGGCCCAAAAAGCCAATGAGGAGAAGAATGCCTTCAGAGGTATTGGCCAAATGGAAAAGGAAGTCCAAAAGATTACTGAAGAAAATATTTCCTCAAAACTTAGAAAGAAGCAATTGGAAGCTAGTGACTTTATAAGAAATCGATACATTGCAAAACAAAACCAAAAGAACGACAAAATAGAGGACAATATGAAATATCTCACTGGAAAAATAACTGACCTGGAAATTAGATCCAGGAGAGATAATTTAAAAATTATTGGACTACCTGAAAGCCATGATTAAAAAAAGAGCCTACACATCGTATTTCCAGAAATTATCAAGGAAAACTGCCCTGATACTCTAGAACCAGAGGGCAAAATAGAAATTGAAAGATTCCACCTATCACCTCCTGAAAGAGATCCCCAAAGGAAAACTCCTAGGAATGTTATAGTCAAATTCCAGAGTTCCCAGGTCAAGGAGAAAATATTGCAAGCAGACAGAAAGAAACAATTCAAGTATTGTGTAAACACAATCAGGATAACACAAGATAGCAGCTTCTACCTGAAGGGACCAGAAGGCTTGCAATATAATATTCTGGAGGTCAAAGGAGATAGGATTACAGCCAAGAATCACCTAC